GTCGAGCAGGTGACTGTTTTTTTTTTTTTTCTTTTTGGGGGGGGTGGGGGGCTCAGGCCCCTGCCTCTTTTTTTTTTTTTTTTTTCTAAGTAATCTCTACACCCAGCGTGAGTCTTGAACTCATGACCTTGAGATCAAGAGTCAGATGTTCTACCAACTGAGCCAGCCAGGCACCTCAGAGGGAGCTATTCTTGATCGTGGGGTCCTGAGTTAGAGCCCCTCATTGAGCGTGGAGACTTTTTGAAGGAAATAAAAGGGGGGAAATAAATAAAAGGTCCCTCTGGATGCTGTGCGACGGAAGGCAAGTGACTGCTTTGAACCTCAGTGAATGAGAAGAACCCTGGGATGTTTGGGGAGCGGGGGGAGCTGCAAGCCACCTGGTCCCTCCTGAAATAGAAGCTCCCTCAGGCATCTGCAGAGGGTGTATGCCAGCTTGTCTGCGTTTTGACTGATAGGGGAATGTTTTCTTGACTGGCAAATATTTGTGCTCCGCAGTTGGCGAGGCTTCCCTCCCTGATTTTCACAGCCTGGAAAAGAGCAAAGGAAAAGGTTCAGAGAGACCACGCACGACGGGACGAGTGGAAAAGCTAGCAGAGCCCGGGGGCCACATCACCTGAGTCTCCTTGTCCTCGTCTGTAGAACAGGGGCAGGGCTGCCCTTCCCCCACTGGGCTGTTGAGAGAACAAGATGAGACGGCGAGCATTACACACTGTAAAAATGATGACATCTTGGGGTCTCGAACAGGAGCATACGTCGGGGTCACCTGGCCGGCGGGGGGGGGGGGGGGGCGGTTAAATGTGTTTCCATACCCAGAAGCATGACTCGCAACAGTTGAGAGGTGGAAACCACTCAAACGTCCTTCAACCGAGGGACAGAGGAACGAAACATAGCCTGTACATACTGTGGAATATTATTCAGCCACAGACAGGAATGAGGAACTGATTTGTCTACAACGGGGATGAACCCTGAATTCATTATGCCACGTGAAAAGAGCCAGTTACAGGGACGCCTGGGTGGCTGAGTCGGTTGAGCGTTGGACTCTTGAGTTTTGGCTCAGGTCAGGATCTCATGATCGTCCTGCTTAATTAAGATTCTCTCTCCCTCTTCCTCTGCCTCTCACCTGCTCACCCTTTCGTGCTCTCTCAAAATAATAATAAAATAATAATAAGAATTAAAAATAAAATGCCTTCCCTAATGTAGACTTTCTGATTCAGTGACCAGACACCTTACTGTCTCCCTGGAGATTTTTGTAACTGAGAAAATTGGAAATTGGAGGGATCTGCTCCAATATGGTTCAGCTCTGAGCCACTCTTGAGGTCCAGAGAGGACTTCCAAATGCCTGTCCTCACGGCTGGCCTTTGAAAGTGGGGGAGACAGGATACAGATGAGGGGGAAGGAAAGGCGTAGGGACAGACCGGAGGGATGTGGCGCAGGTAACCTGTTGCTTTAGACTGGGTGGTCAGAACTCTCACACCACTACTGGCTCTTGTAAAACGATGCCTCCCCTCGAAGGTGGGGGTGACCTGTGTGGTAATGAATTAAGAGCTGGAGATGAAATAAATGGGGACAAAGTGACAACCCTACCGTGCAGAAGAATTCCAAACGATGTCTATAGAGACTCTGCCCTCAAGAAGGTGGATACAGGAGGGGCACCTGGGTGGCTCAGTCGGTTAAATGTCTGACCCGGCTCAGGTCATGATCTCGCGGTTCGTGGGTTCGAGCCCCGCGTCGGGCTCTGTGCTGACAGCTCGGCTCCTGGAGCCTGCTTCGGATTCTGTGTCTCCCTCTCTCTGCTTCTTCCCCGCTCACCCTCGGTCTCTCTCTCTCAAAAATAAATAAACAGTAAAAAAAAAAAAACAAAAACCAAAACTATCAAATTCATCAAAAACAGAGTCTAAAAAACTGTCACAGAGTGGAGAAGCCTAAGGAGACATCACTCAATGTCACTTGGGGTCCTGGAACAGAAAAAGGACATTAGGGAAAACCTGAGCAAATGTGAGTAGGAGTGGACTTTAGTTAATGTTAATAACAGTATATCAGGAAACAAGTGCTGGTGAGGATGTGGAGAGAGGGAAACGTCTTCCACTGCTGGTGGGAATGCAAACTGGTGCAGCCGCTCTGGAAAACAGTGTGGAAGGTCCTCAAAAATGAAAAATAGAACTACCCTACGATCCAGTAAATTCTACTACTGGGTATATATCTAAAGAACGCAAAAACACTAATCAGAAAGATACATGCATCCCTATGTTTATTATAGCATTATCTATAATAGCCAAACTATGGAAGCCGATAAATGGATAAAGAAGATGTGTGTATATATACAATGGAATATTACTCAGCCATAAAAAGGATGCAATCTTGCCATTTATAACGACATGGATGGAGCTAGAGAGTATAATAAGTGAAATAGGTCAGAGAAAGACAAATAGCATATGATGTCACTCATACGTAGAATTTAAGAAATAAAACAAATGAAGAAAGGAGAAAAAGAGAGGCAAACCAAGAAACAGGCTCTTTTTTTTATATATATATTTATTTTTGAGAGAGCTAGAGAGACAGAGTGTGAGCAGGGGAGGGGCAGAGAGAGGGAGACGCAGAATCTGAAGCAGGCTCAGGCTCCGAGCCATCAGCACAGAGCCATCAGCACAGAGCCCAATGCAGGGCTCGAACTCACAAACCATGAGATGGTGACCTGAGCTGAAGTTGGCCGCTTAACCGACTGGGCCACCCAGTCTCCCCGAGAAATAGGCTCTTAAGGACAGAGAACACACTGATGGTGACCAGAGGGGAGGTGGGTGGGAGATGGGAGAAATAGGCGATGGGGATTCAGGAGGGCACCTGTCCCGATCAGCACCGGGTTGTGTGAAAGTGTTGAATCACTGGATTGGACACCTGAAACTCATAAACACTGCACATTAACTAACTGGAAATAAACCTTGCACCTAAAAAAAAAAAAAAATAGTGTATCAAAATTGGTTCATTAATTTTGAGAAATGGATCAGAGTAGGGCAGGGGGAAATAGGCGGGCACTCTATGGGAATCCTCCATAGTATTTTTGCAACCTTTCTGTAAATCTAAAGCTATTCTAGAAAAAAAAAGAAAAAAGAAAAGAAAGAAAAGCTTATTTAAAAACATCTTGGGGCACCTGGCTGGCTCAGTTGGTGGAGCATGTGACTCTGGGTTTGGGGGGGGGGGGTCATGAATTCAAGCCCCCAGGTTAGGTAGAGGGACTACTTAAAAAAGAGAAATCTCTCCTTTAGGGGCTCCCCCAGGCATCTAAACACCCCTGGAATTGAACCTGTTGCCTCCTTCAGGATAGTCAGGGCTACAATACCTTCGGTTACATTAGAAGTCAGCACCTTGGACTTGGGACCTTAAGGCAGCGGACCTTTCCTACAATGACACAAGTGTCCTGGAGCTGCCCCCTCCAGTAAGGCAGCCACTTAGCCCCATGTGGAACCTGAACATTTGCAGTATGAACCACAGACTCGGGCCCGGGGTCCTCTGAAGGGTCAGG